GTGCCCTGGGGCGCTTGTCCCCTGACCCTGCCTTCCTGAAGCAGCACCTGTGCTAAGCACCTGCTCTGGAGCGGACTTGGGTCAGAGTTCGCTTTCCAGTCGCGGCCTCTCCCAGTGAAGGCAGAGGCTCCGCAGAACTGGGCTTGGCCAAGAGCATATGATGCAATGGTGGCAGAATGGGAACTAGCCCAATCTCATGACTGACTTGTGGCCCGCACAGGGGACACTCTAGGAGGAGTCCCTGTTCGAGCTTAGTGTGCAGTTTTGAGCAGGGCGGCCCTTTACTGGGTCACCGCTGGGCTCTTCCTGGGTGGGAGGCTTCCTTTGCCCCCGCGCTGGACATCTGTCTCCCTTCCCAGCTGGAACTTTCACTGACATCGATCTGGCCTGTCAGCACTCACCCTGGGGGAGGAGCGGCTGGTGTGCTCTCCTAGATGGCCAGTCGGGCAGTCACAGGTCCAGACACAGGCCACAGCAGACCATGTGGGGCCCACAGGGGTCGGGAGACAAAGCGAGGGGAAGATTTCAGTCAAAGCCTTTGTGGGTTTCCCCGGGAGAGGCAGGCAGGGCCTTCAGGGATGGCCAGCTTCAGTCGTCCTGGGCTGTGGGCTGCTCGCATGGTCCCTGATTGCCTGGCACCTGGTCACTGAGGCTCGGGAAGGCTGGTTGGCAGATGGCAAGTGTCCGAGGTGTGCTCCCGCCGGCTGGCGGGCAGTCTCCAGACCCAGAGGTCTGAAGACGTGAAAACAGCGTAATACACAGGACACCACTTACTCCAGGTGAGGGGCGAGCCTGACCCTCCTTGCAGTTCTCACTGATGATGAAAGCTGTTCTGGTCAGAGCAGGGCACGCCCACCCCGTCCCTCTGCCGCCCCCTGCCCCGCCGCCCCGCCCACTCCAGGGTTCTCTTCTGCAGGAGTTTCCGCGACTCCAGCTTCTGCTGTGAGCAGGGGCCACTCCAGCAGCTCCTACAGCCGGAGTTGGGTCAGCGATTCCTTCTCACCATGTCCACGACCTCCAAGCAGTGTCGTGACCAGCTTCTGAGGACTCTGCATGCTTTTCTCAGGAGCACTACTCCCTCCCCCCTGCATTCTGGGTCGTGGTCACTGCAGTTCATGAGTCCAAGGCTGGGATCCCCGAATCGGGGCGCAGCCCCTCCCGGAGCCGTGCCTTCCCCAAACGCAGCCGTGTGGCCTTGAGGGCATCTGCCGTCCATCTCAGTCACGTGGACATCACTGCGCCGCCTTCGGCACAGCGGCTCCACCTGACACTTTTCCTGGATGTTCGTTCAGTTTTTCCTTCTCATAGTCACTGGTTGTGATATCTAACTGCTTGATGATTTCTCGAATACATTTTTCAGTTTGAGCCTTGTCAACTCTTTTCCCCAAGATCATGGCATCGTCTTTGGTCACAATGACCTCTCCAGCTTCTCCAGAGTCAGGAGGCTGAGCACCTTCCAGCTTAGGTCGGCCCTGATATTGCAGACACTGCAGCACCCGCAGCAACCTCATGTCTCTAAACTGGTTCTTTCTGCCGGCACCAGAACCGGGACCTGGCTGCGCAGCCTCGCACCCGTGGCCAGCCTGTTCCAGGGCGCAGAGCTGCTCCGTGGGCGCGCCAGCCTGTCCCGGGGCGCAGAGCTGCTCCGTGGGCACGCCAGCCTGTTCCGGGGCGCAGAGCTGCTCCGTGGGCACGCGCCAGCGGTATGACCGGGGCTCTAGGGCACTTTCAAGAGCAGCGCAGTGGACCGAACCAGATGTTTTCACTCAGTAGAACACAGGCATCTTGGATTCACACTTCTGACCTTTTCCTGTGTTAATAAACTGGAGAAATACGACCGCCGTCAAACCTCATGGCTGCGAGAATGTCTGGTTCCTCTGTCGGTGTTTTCCCTGGACCGCGATGACGATGACGCCTTCTTCTGACCTTCCATCCCACGCATCGGAAACGATGTTGCCATTTCTTTGTCTGCATTTGCAGACATCGTAGCAACCTGAGCGACTTCTTCAGGGGTGTAGACTGGTTCTTAAGTTCAGGAATCAGAGCGTGCACAGCGGACGTCACCTCCCTTTCCGCTGGTTGACGGGCCCTCACTGGTCTCACGTGGTGTGGCTGCCCAGCTCTTCGTCGGTGTTACCGACATCTTTGAGTTTAACAATATTTTTATTTTATTTATTTGGTTAATCCTCAACGGAGGATATTTTTCCATCGAATTTTAGATGGGAGGAAGGGAGAGAGAAACATCGACTGGTTGCCTTCTGCAGTGGGACCAGGGTTTGAACCTGCAACCCAGGTGTGTGCCCTTGACCAGGAATCGAACTTGAGGCCCTTTGGTCCGAGGGCCGACGCTCTAATCCTGAGCCAAACCCGACGGGGCAGTGTTTTATATTTATCTTCTAAGTCTGGGGACTTTGCGAAGGTCACACATCTCTTGTTACTTGAGGATGTTCAGCTGTTCGGTAATCACTGTTCTGCGCCGGGAGCAGGGAGGAGCATGTGAGGGGAAGGAGGGATACCTCTAACAACAACAACAAAGATAAACTTAAGTTCAAAAAAATCACCCTCCCTCCCTTCGGTCCCGTGGTGACGGCTGCAGCATCCGCTCCGTCTGCACCACGAAGCCCGAGGCTCGGCATCGCCCCGGTTTTCCTCTGGCCTGAGTCTTAGTGGACGAGGAACCAGGGCCCTGGCACTGGCCTGACCCGGTGAGGGGCTTCATGGGATCGACCGGCCCTGTGGCCTCGGGGTGAGGACACAGCCAGGTGCACAGGGCCCTGAGCTCCTGCCGCCCCTCCCGCTGCCGCACCCACAGCACCGCTGTAGGCGTAGGGCCCGGCCCTTAACGCTGCTCAAGTGGGCCTGCAGATGTGCGGTCAGCTCGGTCTCGGCCTGGTGTGAGGGAACGCCTCCCGGTGCAGGAGCATCAGCAGGGGGCGGCCTCAGCTTCCTCCCCGGTGAGGCGGGGTCTGTGTGCTTGGGTCTGGGGCGCTGAGGGCCGGGCCCCTGCAGGACTCTGCCTGGGACAGTTCAGACCCGGCGGTTCCCTGTGGTTGCTACTGGTTCCACAGGGGATTCCGCCAGGTGCACCTGTGCTCTGGCCTCGGGGTGGTTTCGGGTGCACGACAGCGTCTCGCTTTCCGCTGGAGATTCACACGCGCAGTTCAGGGCCGCTGCTCAGGCTGCCCCAGGCCGGGGCTCGGTTCCTCTCCAGCCTGCTCTTTCCCACTGGGCGCGGGTGCGAGGGGCCTGCTCTGAGGAGGCCCAGGTCCCCTGAGCCCTGCCCATCGGGGCGGCCCTGGGGCTGCTTTGCCAGGACGGACGCTGGGGTCCCTGTCCTGTGTGTTGTGTTCCTCTGGACATGCACAGCTGGACCAGACAGGCAGGGGCTCCTTCTGTTTCTCAGACCGTCCCGCCTGTGTAACTGGCCACCGGAGCGCGGTCTGAAGTCCTTCAGCAGGGTTTCAGCACAGCTTGTCTGCGCAGACGGGCGTGGGTGCCTCTGGACAGCCTCAGCGCTGCTGGTCTCTGGGCCTCGGGACGAAGGCCCTCCCAGAGCAGGCTGGTCCCAGATCCGGGTGCTGGGAGCTTGTAGCTCAAGGGCTTGACCGGCCTGTGGCAGCCCCGCTGGTCAGGGCGTCTGGGGCAGGTGAGATGGAAGCCGGACCTGAGGGTGGGAGGGCCGGGGGAGGGGGCGTCCTCCCCACAGAGGCCTGGCGGTCAGGAGAAGGCGGTGTGTTCAGAAACTACGCGGTTCAGTAAGTCTGTGGTGCCGAGTGCGGTACCGGGCCAGGAGGTTGGGTCCTGAGCCTCAAGATCAGTCTTTGATGGGGAAACAGGCCAAGAATGGGGCAGATTTCTAGGACTTTGCTGCCCTGCTAACTAGGGTGACTCGCACCGTGGCGGGGTCTGGAGGCGGGGACGTTCTTGGGTGCACTGGGAATAGAACGTGACGCCTGTTCGGCGTGATCTCCCAGTTCCGCAGACCTCGGTCAGTCAGCACCCGGTGGCTGGGAGCAGCGGGAACACAGGGCGGACAGAGCCAGCCGCGTCCTCATGCTGGTGCAGTGTCCTGGCCTGTGGCCACCACTGTCCATAGGAGCGTGAGCTTGTGGCCGGTGCCCACAGACCACCCCATGGCCCTTGGTCTAAGTCAGCATTTTAGGTACTTAGTTTAGGGATTCTTTTCACGATTAGAACGAGAATGACCACCTTGAACTTGAGAGCGAGAGACGGCCATAAAGGTGATCTTAGCCCAGGGGTGGCCCCTGGGTTCCCTCTGGCCCGGGCGCGGCACGGGGTGGCAGGATCTGCGTGAGGAGGGCGCCGGGGGTCCAGTGGACACAGCCCTGTGGTCAGTGTCTGGGGCGATGTCCGGGGACGGCGCACAGTGCATGTGGCCTTGCCCTCCTGGGTCTGGTCAGAGCGCCCCCCGCAGACGGCACAGTGAGGCCGGTGTCCACACTGTTCGCTGGTTAGCAGACGGCTGAGCGAGGACTGGCCTCTCCTGCCGTGCGGAGGACGTCTGACCGGCACGTGACCTGAGCCAGCCCTCATTCAGCCCTGGACGCACAGTGCTCTCCACAGGGAAGTCCGAACCAGGACGCGGGGCCGCAGGGACCGGAACCCAGGCGCCGGCCAATGTCTGTCTGTGGCCCGGGCTGGAAATGTCTGTCGGCTACTTTGCCACGCAGACCGGGGCGCTCACAGGTTCTTGTCTTGGGTTCTGGAAGCGAGAGGCTCACATCCCGGAGTAATTGTCTGGTGGGTGGTCTCCCTGGGTCTGAACTGTGTGGCGGGCGCCCCCACGAAGGTGGTGGGGTGCTGCCGCCGTCCCGCTCAGGGCTGCACCTGTCTCAGTTCCCTCCCATGGAGCCCTGAGCGTCTCCTGCTGTTTCGTGTCTTCCGCCAGGTGGAAGGACGAACCGAGTGACTCTGACAGGCTCTTTATCAGCTGTGCTGTGTCCTGGCTTCAGTTCAGTCCGTGTAAAGAGAATTGTCTTTTCCTTCTGCAGATCGAACACGGCTACATGAAGGTCCCCGAGACGGTGGCACTGACGCTGGTTCTCGGACGAGACCCCATGCGGGGTCGCAAAGCCCTGTGCTGACCACGGCCCTCCTGTGATACGAGGTTGAGGACAATGAGTCTCACGAGCGATCGAGGGACATCAGGGAGCATCTTTGACCTGGACTATGCCTCCTGGAAGATCCGCTCGACGCTGGTGGTCGCTGGCTTCGCCTTCTACCTGGGCGTGTTCGTCGTGTGCCACCAGCTGTCGTCCTCCCTCAACGCCACGTACCGCTCCCTGGCGGCCAAGGAGAAGGTCTTCTGGAACCTGGCCGCCACGCGCGCGGTGTTTGGGGTTCAGGGCACGGCTGCGGGTCTGTGGACTCTGCTGGCGGACCCCGTGCTGCAGGCCGACAAAGCCCACGCCCAGCAGGACTGGTCCTGGTTCCACATCACCACGGCCACCGGCTTCTTCTTCTTCGAAAACGCAGCCCTTCACCTGTCCAACTTTGTCTTCCAGGCCTTCGACGTGTTCCTGGTTCTCCACCATCTCTTTGCCTTCCTGGGGTTTCTGGGGCTAGTGGTGAACCTCAGAGCTGGCCACTATCTGGCCATGACCACTCTGCTGCTGGAGATGAGCACGCCCTTCACCTGTGTGTCCTGGATGCTCCTGAAGGTGAGTGGCCCTCGGGCGCCGTGTCTGCCCGTCAGCAGGTGTGGGCCGGGGTCCGGGCTCGCGGCGGCCCTGCAGGCGGCAGCAGACCGAACGCCGCACGCGGCCGCGAGCTACTGTGGCCGAATTCCGTTTCCTTCACTTGAAACAAATCGTTTAGGCCTCCAGCCTCAGAGCAAGACGACGTGGCGGGTCTCACGGCTCGGGAGACGGAGCTTGTGAGCCCCAGGAAGCCTGGCCAACCCTTCCTTTCAGATGCTCCCTAAAAATCAAAGTAACGTGGGGGTCCACACACACGTCTTTTAAGGTTTCGTTACGTCACTTCCTACCTAACTCTAGGCCCTCTCGGCAGCTTCATGAGCACAGGGCCGTCCTGCCGACACAGCGCTGGGCCAGCTGCCGCCGCCCAGCCTCACTCGGCCGGTGGGGCCCGGTGCCTCCCGACTGGCTCTCCCCCTGTCCCCAGCCCCCGGCGACCGCCGTCGCGCTGTGATTCTGTGACTTGGACTGTTCTGTCCCTCAGCCTTGGACGACTGAGTCCCTGAGCACCTGTCCCGTCCTCCGGGTCCGCCCGAGTGGTGCACGTGGCTGGATTTCCTGGTTTCAGGCTGCGTAGCTCCCCGTGGTGTGCGCCACGTCCTCCACCCGCGTATCTGTCAGGAGACCCAGGCCGCTTGCGCAGCGTGGCTGCTGGGTGTGGTGCAGGGATCGTGGGGGTCCCGGTGGCTCTTCAGGGTCCTCGTTCCGTGTGTTTCTGTAGTTTGGCGCATCTCCCTACACGAGGCAGTACCGCTGGGATTGGAGCGTTGCACACACAGAGCCAGGCTCGCTCCAGTCCCTGGAGGGACGGACTGCCACCCATGGGGTGTGTGCAGGGCGTCAGGAAGGGCACCGTGTCAGGGCTCTTGCCTGTGTCCCAGAGTCGCTTGGGGACACTTGGCCACTGGAGACACGGAACCGGCCAGGTGGGGTCTTGTGGGAGGGAGCCAGGGGGCTGTCCCCACCACACTCACCGGGCGGTGGCACCCCTCGTGGGGCTGGCTGCAGCGTTGTGCCCGCTTCAGCGTGTTCAGTCCGCTGAACCCCATGCTGGTGTGTCGCTGTGGTGTGTGGATGCCCAAGGGACTTGGTTCCCAGTGACAGCACAGTTCTCAACTCCAATGTAAACATTGCTTTAAACACAACTGATTTAATAATAGAATTCGGCCGGCCGGTGCGGCTCAGTGGTTGAGCGTCGACCACCAAGAGATCGATTCCCCGTCAGGGCACACGCCCAGGTTGTGGGCCCATCCCCAGTGGGGGGCGTGCAGGAGGCGGCCAGTCGATGTTCTCTCTCATCGATGTTTCTATCTCTCTCCCCCTCTCCCTTCCTCTCTCTACAATCAATAAAGGAAAAATATTTTTTTAATGGAATAATTTAGACTTGGTTGAGAGATTTTAGAGGAGACCTTTTAACTGTCCTATGACTTCAGTGTGAAATGTGTTTCTTGTCCATTTCCTAACCCCTTTTATTCACTGTCCAGGACTCAACAGGCCCTGCGGTCTGACGACTTGATCCACGGTGGTCCCAGTGGACTGCTGCTGATGTGAGTCAGAGAACTGGAAATGAGGGCATAGGTTGGAAAAGAAGTAGTGATTGCACAGGATCAAAGAATTCTTTGTCACGGAAGAATTAGCCAGTTTGTGTCAGGAGATAATCTGAAGCTAAATTTAACTCTCAGAACGACAGGTGTGAGACGGCAAGTAACTCAGAAGAGGTTCTTCTAAGAATATGTAAGACACTGGGCAGACCTCATGCAGAACTTCCTAGAACTTTGGGACACCTGGTTGTTCCGATGAGGCACACGGGTGGTGTGTGGACCGCCAAGCTGAGCGTGAAACTTCTGCGATAAAGCTGATTTAAATGTTTTTTTCTTGATTTTTAGAGAGAAGGAGAGAGGGAGAGAGAGAGAGAAACATCGAGGAGACAGAACATCGACTGGCCCCCTCCCGCACACCCCCTACTGGGGATCGAGCCCACAACCTGGGCATGTGCCCTGACCGGGAATTGAACCGGGACCTCTCAGTTCCTGGGACGACACTCAGTCCACTGAGCCGCACCCGCTGGGCCTTAGCCCACTTTTAATCTAATTCTTTGCGTTTCACTATTGAGTCGTAGTGTGTTATGTGCGATGGTGATAACTCCTATTAGATACACAATCTGCAAATATTTCCCTCCGCTCCGCTGGGCGTGCCCTTCGCTGTGAAGGGACTTTCAGTTGCGTGTGTCCCGACTTCGACTTTGTTCCTGTCGCCTATGGTCTTGGCGTCATAGCCCTGAAATCCTATCCAAGCCCGATTTCATGAAGCCTTTCTCCTGTGTCCTCTCCTAGGGGATTTGCAGTCGGGGTCCTACGTGTAAGCCTCAGTCCCTTTGCGTTAACTGTCCTGTGTGGTGTGAGCTGCAGGTTCACAGCGTCCCGGTGCCGTGAAGTGAGGGGACTGCCCTCTCCCCACCGCGGTCGTGTCCGCTTGCCCTGCCTGCTGCCCAGGTGGGGTTCTCCCTGGCCCCCAGCTCCGCCTCACTGGCCGCGGCCGGCCTCTGTCGGGGCCGTGCAGGTTTGGGACATTTGAATCCGGGGTGGTGTCTCCAGCTTGTTCCCCTTTCTCGATGCTGATACGCTGTTTGCAGTTTCCTACGAATGTTGGGATTTTCTTTTCTGTTTCTGTGAAAACTGCTACTAGGATCTTGACCAGGTTGCACTGAATCTGTAGATTCCTTTGGTGGCCCTGTCTGCTGAGTGTTTCAGTGTAGTTGCTGGTTCATGTGAATCGTGTCTGGTTTCTCTGTTCCTCTGTCCGGACGCTCTGCCTCATTCTTCCCTCTCCTGACTCTGTGTCGGGGTTTGTGCACTGAACCAAGAAGACACCTCCCCCAGTCTCCACATACCGCCCCGCCCTCGCGACGGCCCCATATCAGCTGGGCCAGACGGGCTGGGCATCGTTATCCCCCACTCCCCAGGGAGGGCAGGCAGCTGTGGGTTCTGTGGGCAGAGCTGGGCGGGGCGGGCGCAGAGGCTGTGGTGTGTGCCAGCCCGGGCTCCGTGTCCACCCCGCCCCGCGCAGCTGGACTGTGCCGGCCATCGAGCTCCAGGACTGCAGACGAAGGCAGGCCTCTCCAGCCCCTCAGAAGGTTGCAGTGCTGGACACATGAGCCAGTACCCCTCTTCTGGGTGAAGGTGGAGCTAGGGCCTCTGGTCCGGAAATGGGGTGCTGCACCAGGGCAGGGACCCCCGGCAGCCTTTAGTTTCTGTTTCTCACAGAGGAGTCAGAATTCGATCTTGCGGCCCTGGCTGGTTTGGCTCAGCGGTTGGAGCGTTGACCTGCGGACCAGAGAGTCCCGGGTTCAGTTCCCGCTAGGGGCACATACCAAAAAAAAAGAATTAATTTAAACTTGCGAGCTGGGGTCTCTGTGGGGGAGGCCTTTGCCCATGTCCATCACACATCCTGTGGGTTTTTTATTTTTCATTTTGAATAAGGTTGTTTCACTGGTAAATCAAAGTGTTGGGCCCCAGCACCGCTATTTGTCGAGTATTTCCTTCCTTCGTGTGAGAGTATATTTTTAAATGTTAGTTTTCACTCGCTGTGCTCCCAGCTCAGGTCCCGGCTGTCCTCCAGGGCGACGCTGGTCACGGGACAGGTTTACGTGGAACTGGAGATGCAGCTTTGCCGGTTGAGCGTGTCCTGCAGTCACACGGGCCGCGCCTCCACACGGGAGGGGCCCGGCCGGCAGGCGGTCGGGGGGTGTTGTCCATCGGCTGGGAATCCAGTCCCCAAGGGGCAGCCTGCTCAGATGTGGCAGGCACCTGCCAAGCCCCGTCCTGTGTCCAGGCTGTAAGTTAGGCATCGGAGAGATCATCACGGATGTGGGGCTTGGGGTGGCGTGAGGTCCCCGGGGCAAGAGTCGTTGGGAAGAAGGGTTGGACACCATGGATGGAGTGAGAGTCATATAACGCAGCTGACGCTGAACGATCATGGAAGCTGCGGGTCTGCGGTCGTTTAGATAAGATACTGGGACTGGGGACCTGCCAGCGTCCTGGGCCTCCCTCCCGGGACGGCCCGGCCACGTGGCTGCTCGGTTCTGTGGGTGTCCCCTCCACAGAGCAGAGCCAGGGGCTGGGCCCTGCCGTGTGGGCTGTGAGCACCAGGGGACTGTTGCTGAGGTCGCGTGGGGTGGACTGTGTTGTCTGCGCTGTCTCCCCCTCCCCTCCCACGGGGAAGCTCTGGGCTCTCAGTCTGTGGGAGAAGGGGTGTCTGGAAGGAAGGAGGAGTCACTGACAGCTGTGGGGAGGGGGGACCTCAGCTAAAACCCAGACACACGTGCTGGGAGAGAAGTCAGAGAGAGTTTTGAGAAAATATTCTTAGTTATCTTGAATTTGTTATTTTTTTGTAGGATGTTGCTTTAAAAAAAGAAAGAAATGAAAATCTTCCTGTCTCCAGCCCCCAGGGGTGATCAGTGTGGAATGATGTCAGGTGTCTGTTCCTGACCCTGGTCTGTGCTCTGGAGTCTCCTGGGACAGCGCCCCCTGCAGGGCTGGGGGTTGGGCAGGAAGGGGGCTGCTGCAGGCCCCGCCCCTGTCCTGGGAGGGGTCAGACTCCAGTGGGGTGCCTGCCAGAGAGACGGGCTTGTGCTGGGTTTTCCTGCCTTGGAAGTTTGTGAGGTGCGGTCTGCAGGGTGGACAAGGTCCCACGTGTGCTCACTGCAGCCCTCATTATGTCGACTGCACACGGCCGACCCAGCCGCAGGGGGACACCACGGTCCTGCAGCCGGGTCGGCCCAGCCCGCAACAGCATATACCACAGATGGGTTTGTTCTAGTGTTTCCTCCTTATACTCGATTTCGAAGTGCTGTTTACAACTGGTAATACATGAATTACACTGGCCTCACACACCACAATATAATTCCCCCCAGAAGACTAGTTCGTCATGTAAATTATCTGATACGAAGCAGTCATTTCATACACACAGGAGCACAGCGCAGCTGACCTGGGTCCAAGGCTGGGCGCCTGCCCGGCAGTGTCCCAGTGCACACCTGCTCGGTGCCCGGCGTGTGTCCCGGCGCAGATGGGCTCCCGTGCCCGGCGTGTGTCCCAGCGCAGATGGGCTCCCGTGCCCGGCGTGTGTCCCAGCATGGCTCAGAGCATTAGGGACACTGAAGACAAACGTGTAGCCTGGGCCAGGCCCAAGAAAAGAAGGAAATGTTGTCGTTTGCAGCAACATGGATGGACCTACAGGGCAACATGCCGAGTGAAAGCCAGACATAGACAGATACCACATGATGTCACTTATACATGGAATTTAAAAAAAAAAAAAATGAACTTTTAGACACAAGAACAGATTGGAGTGGCCCGAGGGAGGGGTGGAGGGTGGGAAGGGGGAGTGAAGGTGGTCAAAGGCACAGACTCCAGTTGCACATCAAATATGTCGACATGTGGCTTCAGTGGTACGGCCTACAGTCCCCATCACAGAACACGGTCCCACCTGTGGTGGTGAGCGCTCCCCAGACTTACTGTGGTGACCACTTTGCAGTGTGGCCCATCCTCTGCGCTACGGGCAGGCATGAGCTCCATGCACGGCCACCTCGTCATCCCCCGGGTGGACCCTTCCTCCAGGGTGCACTGTGCCCGGGCGTATTTCGGGCACCACGTCCCGAGCATGTCTGTTCAAGGTTGGTGGCTGTGATGTTCCGCAGGTCAGGTGTGTTAAATGCATTTTGAACTTACGACGAGTTCATCAGGCATATCCCCTTTGTAGGCCAAGGAACGTCGATTGTACACCTGAAACCCACAATGTTTTGTGTCGGTGTCTCACCAAAAGCATCGTGGACGCTGCACAGATAGTCCTGAAGTCTGTGCTCCCTGTGAACAGGGCAGGAACGGGACCCGCGCTTCCTGGCTGCCTGGCCCTCTGCAGCTGCGGCTTGTGCTCACGTCGCCCGGGGCTGGGCCACGCGGAGCCCACGCCCACCTGGCTGCTTTCAGCTCTGCTGTGGCCCAGAGGCCCCTGCACAGGGAGCAGGGGCCAGGACGTGGAGCGGTGTCACCTGGGCCTGGCCTCCCAGCCACCTCTGGACCCGCTGGTGGGCCAGTGGGCAGAGTGACCTGCTGTTTCTCGCCTCGACTGGGCGCCTCTGAGAGGGAGGTGGGTGCCGGGCAGTCAGCAGGCTGGGCGGATGGACGCCTGCTGAGAAGGAGCCCCGGTGGGGAGGCTGGGCCGCCAGCCTCTGTTCCACAGGCCGGAACACGGGGGGAGCCGGAGCTGTGCGCACTGGCTCTGTCCCCACGTCACATGGGGTCGCACTGCTGACAGATTCTCCAGCCCCAGTTCTCCTCCTTCCACGTCTGTTCCTCTTCCCTGGGGGTGCTGTGTCCTTTGGGGGTGTCACTCAGCAGCGCAGGGTTCTCGGGAAGCCTGTGGTTCCAGTCCCTCTGCAGCTGACCCAGTGCCGGCCTGTCCGATTTTATCGAGACCTGGGCCGGGCACACTGAACGCTGGGTGTCCCTGGAAAGCCGCCTGTGGCCCGAGGCGGTGAGGGGGGCGGGGAGCCGTCAGACGTGCCCGTCTTCAGGTTCCCTGTGCAGGTAGCTGTGCCGAGGGGACCTAGTACTAATGTGCACGTAGAATAACTGTAAGGCGGGCTCATGTTGTCTGTGTCCAGGGGCTGCTGGGGTGAAAGCACACAGACCGGGAACTCTCCCTGAACGTCTCTCCTGAGACTTCCTCCCAGGCGAGGTCTGGGAGCTCGGTCCGCAGGACCAGGGCAGCCCCGGGCCACTGCAGGCTCCGCGCGATGCTCAGGGAGCAGAGAGCGGTTCCTCTGTGCAGCCGCAGGGCCCGGGCAGGGGCTGTGGTCGGTGGGTGTGCCGAGCTGACTGCTGTGTTGTGTCCCTGCAGGCTGGCTGGTCCGACTCTCTGTTCTGGAAGGTGAACCAGTGGGTCATGATCCACATGTTCCACTGCCGCATGGTCCTCACCTACCACATGTGGTGGGTCTGCTGCGGGCACTGGCGCGGCCTGCTCGCCAGCCTGTACCCGCCGCACCTGGCGCTCTTCCTCCTGGGCATGAGCCTCCTGACGCTGGTGCTCAACCCCTACTGGACCCACAAGAAGACACAGCAGCTCCTGCACCCGGTGGACTGGAACTTCGCGCAGCCGCAGCCCCAGAGCAGCGCCCTGCCCAGGACCAACGGCCAGGTGCCCCCGAAGAAGGGGCAGTAGCCGCCGGGGACACGACCAGGCCCGACGCCCTGCGAGGAGACCCGCCGTGCTGTGTCCGGCGCTGTCCCGAGACCAGCTTGGTCCACGAGCGTTAACTCCAAGGAGCCACCGGTGCCTGAGACCGTGACTGGCCTTCAGGGTCTCGCGGTCCTGGTTCGTCGTCCGTGCGGGTCCGCTCCTGGGAGCTCCCCAGGTCCATGTGTCTGCAGGAGAGGTGCCGGGCAGGTGGGGCCTGCGCTGCAGAGGGTGGGCCCCCACCCGCGGAAACGAGCGACTCCCCCATTTCTGTGCCGCGCTGCGGGTGGACCCCCGCCTGCGGGTCTGCGGTGCCTTCGGGGGCGCTGGTGGTCAGGCCGCGCGGTTCTTCCACGTCCTTTCATCGTGTGGTCCTTCCGAGGGGTGCATCGAGGGGTGCATCCAGGGCGTATTCTTTTCAGCTGGAAACAGTGGCCCGAGGTAGAAAATCATGTGACTTGTTACTTTGTTAACACTTCCCGGTGCGGATTTCAGACGGGGCGCGACGGCGCCACCTGGCGGCTCGGCGTGTAAAGACCGCGTGGGAACCCCGCCTCCTTGGGAGCCAGCAGTCTGACGGGCGTGGGTGGTGGACGTGACCTGGGCAGGTGGTGGCTTTTCTGAGCAAGGGAGCCGTATAAACACGGGGTCTGTGTTCATGTTGGACTGCTCAGCCGGCAGAGGGAGGAAGGATCTGGTCATCGGACCTGTAGGTTTCAGAGCCGTTCCAAACGCAGTTGCCAGCAGGTGCCCAGGTTAGACTCCAACTCCTTGGCCGGTTTTCTCTGTCGATTTTAAGACAAGGTAGTGACCTCTCTCCTTTGGCGCGGTGGGCAGAGCCGGCCCTCGGAGATGATGGGAGCCGGGCCCTGAGGCTCCCACCGCCAGCGTCCACCTGCGTCCCTCGGCCGTCTGGTGACCGGCCCCGGAGGACATCACTGCCGCTGCGGCGCCCAGGTGGACTCACACACCCACCAGCAGCCTGCCCACGGACACACGGACGCTTTCTTGCCACAAGTGCACACAGGAGACCTGAAGTGTCTTAACCGAGCTCACCTTTGACGTCTTTTCAGGTTTTGACGGTGAAATCGGGAGACTTGTGATGAACAGACGCCCAGAACAGTGTGTTTTGGTTCTGGTGCTTTGATTGTACTGATTATGTAATCCCTATTTATCGCATTAAGACATGATTTCCTCTTAACGCCAGCGAGGACTAACCCCAGCCCCTGCACCCCGGGCCTGCCCTCCGGTCCTGGGAGGCAGGCGGCAGGTGTCCAGCCAGCCAGACGTTTAACGAAATAAAATAAAGCAGCTCATGCTGACAGAACGCGGGAGGATGTCCGTTCTGGTGTCTCAGTGCCGCTCACGTCCCCGTGAATTTCTGTCTGGGGCACAAGGTGTTGGTGATCTTCATGTGTTCACAGATCAGTGTACGGTCTGAAATACTCAGCTTAATTTTTACCTTCACCAGGACTGCGGCCGTCCCCACCCACATCTCAGTGCAGACGTCGGGCTGCCGGCCAGCAGTTCCTTGAGGTGAGCCGGGGGCGCTCTCACCCTCGCCGCTGCTCCATCCTGACCGCACTTCCGTCCTGGGGACCACGGGGCAGGGGTGTCCGAACCCTCGCTCATCTGTGTTGCCCGGGACTTGGAGCGGTGGTACCGCGCTGTCCTGGCCCCTCACCTGGCCCAGGTTGCTGGCCCAGCCGCACGTGTGGATGGCCGCAGATGACAGGGAGGCACCAGCATGTGCAAGTGACACTCGGGAGCTGCGGCCCTTCGGCCAGTCCCCAGGGCCCAGCACAGAGCCTGCCGCTGTCACTGCTGTGACTCACACCTGCCGCGAGCAGGGACTGCACCGGAGGGTCCCACTGCCATTGGAAGTGCGGGGTCTCCTGGAAAACAGGGAGACGTGGTATGTCGGCCTCCGCACAGTCGGATCATAAGGGCTTTGCAGTTCCTCTGACTCAGTGCATTCGGCCCTCATGTCGGCTGTGAGGTCCCAATCCCTTCCCCACTCTCGTCACACGTGCAGGTCAGTTCGCAGCCTCCTGCTCATGGGTGGTGGGGGTTAGAAATCTCCCACTGCATGTGGCCCCACCCCGCTCAGCAGAAAGGCTGGGGCGCTCTCACAGGGCGGGGTGCACAGCTGGGCCGGCCGTCACCTCGGGGTAAACCACCCTGCAGGGTCCTTGCTGGGGGCACATGGTGGGGCTGAGACCTCACCTGGGTGGAGAGAAGGAGCAACCTGGTCAGATTGAAGGTGGCCAGATGCGGAGGGTGGAGGATCCCCACCAAACTGACCAGTAGAAGGACAACCCTGGCCCAAGAGTCCTGGCCTCATGGGTAGAGCATTCAGGGAGCCTGGTTGAAGTCAGGTCTGGGAGAGACTGTCCCTCCTTGACCAAAGGGTGTCCGTGTCCCCGCCTCCCAGAGCTGCTCCCTGGATCCAAACGACTGGCTCTCGGGGTCGACGTGCTCATTGGAACCTGCCTCCTGCACGGCAGCTGCCCCTTTGAAAGACATGCGTTTGCTTACCTGACCTACTGGGCGTGACAGTCACAGGGCACAGTCACACCCGCGTCCCTGAACAACGTTCCCTGTGAGGCGCAGGCCCGCAATCTTTGTGTTCCCCCCAGGACACTGGGTGGGGCCCCGCCCTTCTCTGCAGTCTGACATCCACCTGCAGGCGGCCCTCCTGACCCCTCACCCCAAGGGCGCTAGCTCCCCAGACCTCCACGCCCAGGGCTCCTTCCTAGTGTCGGGGGAGTTCCAGGGGCTGGTCTGACCGGAGGCCGTCCTGCCTCTCCTGTGACAACGTCAGTAGCTCTGCCGCAGTCCCGTGAGGCCTGAGGCCTGCCTCCCTGGAGCAGTGTCCGAGACGAGCCCCCGAGAGACGCCCGAGCGAGGGGCGTCCTCAGGCTTGAGTAACTTTGGGGGAGGGGAGGGTCTCACCACGGTAACAGCCTCGTTCTGAAGAGTCTTGAAGTCATTTCCGGGGCCTCACAGATCACTCAGATTGTGTCACAGAATGCGAATTACCCATTTTCTCAGAGCTCAGAAAACAAACAGACTGAGGCTAGGGGCATGTCCACAAGAAATTAGCAGCTTTCACCTGAACTGCAGAAGGGAAAGGAAACCACGTCTCTGGTGACAAAGTCAACCCCACGACCTTGGACGCAGGGACCCATGGATGAGAAGGACACAGTTTTCTAGGTGACAAACACCTCCAGGCTGGCAGTGGCCCTCGGCCCCGGACCTCAGACCTCCCATCTCTGGCTGTGTGCAGAGCTGGGGGCTCACCCTTGGGGGGCGGCGATCCTAATGGGGTTCCTCTGCGGACTCCACAGCCTTCTGCCCTCAGCCAGGCACAGGCAGACGGGCGGCAGTCGCGGAAGAGACTCAGCTCGTGTCGTCGGTGAGGGGCCCGCTGACAGTGTAACCGAAAGGTCACAGGTGGGTCTGACCTCAGGGGAGCCCCGAAGGTTGGTGCCTTCCGGGGACCCAGCGCCCTCCACCTGCAGGGCTGCCTGCGGCGGAGTCAGGACAGCGTCCTCACCCGGGGACAGGAGCAGCTGGGAGCCCGCTGGAGGGTCCCGGCTCTGCCGCAGCACCGGTCCCTTTCCCAAGCTGCTGCCCTCTGCGGGCTGACGCCCCTCCCTGCACAGGGCGGGTGGGGGTTCGCGGGGCTCCCGCGTCCACCCTGCCGGGCGCCGACACTCCCGGGACACACGTGGCAGTGGCCGGATTCGGGCAGGCAGCATCCGGTGGATGTCTGGCTTCCCCCCCTCCCCCCCTCAGGAAGTGCCGCAGACCCGGAGGAAGGAAGGGGTTTGGAAAACTGAGCAACGGGGAACAGGGACTGTTTTTGGCGAGGAGACGGGTGCCTGCCCCAGGAAGATGTCCCGGGAAGGAGGTGGGTGTGGGGCCGTCACCTAGAGGGAGGTTTAAATGAGCCTGGTCAGGGCGCCAGACGAGGGAAGTGCTGCTGGGGCCCCGTCCCTGGTGGAAGCCTGGCCCTGCTCCCACCGAGCCCCCCAGGACAGGGAGCCTCTCGCCCGCTTCCTCGCCCCAGACCCAGCCTGGGCCGCCCTACGTAGGAACCGGCGCTTCTCCTCCATCTGGTGCTTTGCAGACTCAGCCTCAGGGACTCACCTCCAGTCACACGGAGCTTCAGGCAGGGAAGGATCTGGGTGTGGTTCAGAGTTTTAGGGGACACGCCCTCGGGAGACCCTCTCATCCCCCTCAGCTCACTCCCTGACTTCCCAGTGTTTACTTTTTCAACCATCTTCCTGTTCACTGCGATAAGATAATATGTGTCTTCTTGTTAAACTGCCATTCTGAGGACCTTTCTGACAACAGGGCTCGTGTGGAGCGGAGGAGACAGTGCACTTTCTTCCTGGAGGTTACGAGTCCTATGACACGCTGGGCATGTGCACCAGGCACGTCTGCCCGTCGAGTCTGCAAGGTGACTCTGAACTCCTCGGGGAGCCTTCCTGCAACACCTGGGTTTAACTTTACTCTTTGTTTCCCGCGTGTTGGGCGTATTCTCTTGCTCTCTGTTCACTTGGTCTCACATTTCTTCCCAAGCCCCCCTCAGTGACCTTTACAAGTCAAGTTGTTGTGTGGGCTCTGCAAGAACATAGGGACCCAGCTGCCCTCCCAGGCCGCTCCCTGGAACATCTGTGCCGTCTCCTGACAGGTGAGCACCCTCTACCTAACGGCCGATTTCCTGAGCCCTGTGGCCCATCTCTCCTCCGGCCCCAGGCTCCCCAGGAGGGCACGGAGCTCTCCCCAAGGTCAGTCTCCACTGTTCCTGGGGGTGGAGGGGTCTGGGCTGGACCTGAGGATTGGACACACTGCCAACCACCGCCTGTCTCAGCCTCACCAGCCCCTTCCCAGAGCTATGGGGCCTCTGGTCCTGGAGCCGAGGGGCATCCGAGGGCCTGAGCTTCCGGGTCCTGCCCGGGCTCCTGGCCTTCCTGCCGGTGTTCCCAGTGTCTGCCCATCACCTCCTCCGGTGGCATCGCCGACGCTGCCACCCCCCCAGCTCCCAGGCTGGGCTGTGGCCTCTGCTTTCCACCGTCCCTCCGCTCTGGAGGGCTAACCCCTCTCAGTTTGCACAAACCGTTGTAGCCGGCCTCAGGAGGCTGAAGTGAGCTGGAATGCAGCCGAATTCAGCCAACTCCGCGATGCTGTTAGCGTTGCTGCCACTTTATTTGACTGACAAACTGCCGTTCGTCTCCAACATCATACTCAACCCCTCCTTCAACGACATACAGTCTCAGGGGCTGGGTTGATGGGCTTATGAGGAAATGTCTGGTGTGTGAAGTCCAGACAAGAACTGGAAACAGGCACCTAGAAATGGGAAGTATTTCAGATCAGGTCCGTAAAGAATTTCCTATAAAAATAGTTAGCGGATCAGCCTCATCTTGCTCTGGTGTGTTCTCGGAATATGAGGTGAGTCTCTGGGTTCACATGCGGATTAAATAACACCCTTCCCAGTGGAGAGCAGAGGTTGGGGTCAGAGCAGGCTCCGCGTGGCTCCGCGTGGCTCCTGTGGTGGCCGAGGCTCACTTCTGCTCCGGTGGCTGATCTGTGAATTAGCCTGTCTGTACCTGTGTTTTCCTTCACAACAGAAGCTCAAAGCAAAGGTGAGAACAGTGTAGTTAATTTCCTTGGAAGTTTTTTTCAGGAACCCTTTATGTTGGCCAATAGAAATGTATTTTTTTATTATTCCTGTTTCTGAATATCATAAAAATGCCATGTGCTGGGTCATTCAATAAACAAAGAATGTTAGATAAGGCCTACTGTTTATTTTTCCTTAATAAGGCTTATTTTTCCTCCGGAAGTGACCTGGCAAAGCTAACGACGTGTTCCATAAATTAACGACTGTTGAGCTATCTGAGGCAGGCAAGAGCGAATCCACAGAAATCACAGGTTTAGAACTTGGTGGCCTGGGGTCTCGCGGGTCAGTCAGTCCTCGGCCTCCTTATTCCGCACGTGGACCCTTGGCTCTCCCTGCAGGTTTGTGGGAGACCCGGCGACAGAGGCTCCGCTCTCAGCCTGCGCCCCGTGCCGCTGTTCTGAGCAGACTGTCTACACGCTCGTGCCACGTTCTGGCAAACGGGACGGGCTCAGGAATCCCGCGACAGTGCTGGACACTGAGGCTGAGCGGCGGGAAGGCGCCGTCCCAGCCTCCCCTGTGCGCCCTCCGGACAGAACTCTGAGCAGGACTCAACCACCTGCCGCCCAGTCTGGAGAAGGAGGAGCCCTGGGCTGGGGGAGGCTGGGGGAGGAGAGAGGCGGCCAGTGTGGTGGGAACTGAGAGGCATCTCAGTCTGTGTGTGTGCGCGGGTTGCTGACTGTGGGAGGGGAGTTGTGGGCCCAAATCCAAGGGGTCTGCTCACCCAGCTCCACTGTGTGGGCCACTGCCCCGGATGGAGAAGGGACGGGGGAGAAACAGTCCTGTGGAATCGGAAAGGACTGAATCACTCTTAGCAACGGAGACTTCCGGGTTGGGGGGGGGGGATGGAAGAAGTAGGGGGCGAGGCCAGCTCCAGCCAGAGATGAAATTCCATCTGCCTGCTTTCCTGCACCCCGCGGTGGCGACAGCGGTCACACCCCTGGGCTCCCCCCATCGCAGAAGGCGGCTCACATCTCCAAGGAAGTACCCTTGACCCTCACTGGGTTCACTCCAGTTCTATTAGGTGTAACTGACACGTAACATTGTATTCGCTTCAGATGTGCAACATAATTATGTGTCACTTATGTATCTCTGAAATGATCACTGCAACAGGTTTAGTTGACGTCCGGTCACCACACGTAGATACGAATATTTTCTTGTGATGACAACTTTCAGATATATGATAACATGTTGTTCACCTTGGTCACCGTGCTGCACATGACAGCCCCTGGATTCACTAGCCTACCACGGGACACCTGCGCCTTTTGCTCCCTTCACCCACTTCACCCCTCTGGCACCCGCGGATCTAGGGCGCAGTGGTGTTAGGTTGTTCAGGTGGATCACAGTGTCTGTCTTTCCCTGAGGTCGCTGGGAGGCTTGTGGGTGTAAGGTGGGTATCACGTGGGCATCTGGCACAGGAGGGGGATCAAGTGGGGAGCACTGGGGGTTCCTGACACCCTCACCCCTGACCTTGTAACCCTGACCCTCCCTGGGCACCGCAGAGCGGGGCATCCTGAGCTGTTAGGACTCTGGGCCAGCGCTGGGCACTGACCACAGAGCAGAGGGATGGATGTCCCGCTCCTGATCCAGGCCAGAGGCCCAGGTGCGACGGAGAGAATGCGTGTTGACCGCCCGGCAGAGGGTGTCGGAGCTGCGTTGATGGAGCCCCGACTGCGCACGGAGAGGGCCCGCGCGGCTGGGAATTGACGAGGAGACCGGAGTGTGGACGGAGAGCTCCGAGCGCCCAGGGAGCAGAGGCGGAGCCAGCGGAGGGCGGGGCCGGGAGGGGCCAGGCGGGTCCTGGCAGCTGTCCCTGCCTCCCCCCTGTGGCAACCCCAAGGGCGTCTTAGGGACCCAGGTCTGCCCCGGGATCCCCCTCCCCCCGCAGCCGCCCTGACGAAGGCCCGTCCCGCAGGATGACCGCCCGCAGAGCGGAGGCTGCTTGCGCGGGTCCGACTGTGGGGCGGTGTGCACAGCGGCAGCCAGGGCGCGGGGATGGGGCTCCGATTCTGTCCTCACCCCACGCCGTCCCCTCCACGTCCTCCGGGCTCCAGCCTGGACCCGCTGCCCCGCCGCGCGCCCACGCCACTTCCCTCGCGTGGTCCCAGCACCTGGGCGCCCCGCTTAACTCGGTTCTGATACCATCCTCCTGAGGTCGGTTCCTGGGCGCCTCCCTTGGCACATTGCAGCAGGTGCCAACGTGGGTTCTGTTGGACAGGCCAGGGCGGTGGTTGCCAGCGAACCTGGTGACAGCGATGCCCGAAAGGACGGGATGGAAACATGATCCCACCTTCCCGGGCTGGCGCTGAGGTTGAAGTCCCTCAGTCCCGCGGGAGAGCGGCGTGGAGGGAGGGCAGGTGGTCCCGGACACTCGCAAGAGGAGCCAGCAGGGACCCCAAGGCCATGGATGCCCAAGGGCCTAGATTATCTGGAGTCCGAGGCCGGGGTGAACTGTCTGGGCAGCTCATAGCAAACTGCGGGCGGAGAATGGAGGGGCTCTGGGTTTTCAGGGTGCTGTGGTTTGTGTGCGACGTTGGGATCGTCCCAGCTCGCCTGACTGTCCAAACACAGGTCTCACGGGATGAAGACTTAAGTCATAACAGCCTGCATTTCCTTAATCAAAACGAAGGGACCATTTCTGGGAAGGTGGAGGGTGTGACATTTTTGTTTAATTGATCAGTGTTGTACCGTGCGGAACACAACACCATTCACCCTCAATATCTCAGTTCTCCGTGTCCACTTCTCCCTTCGACAAAACGTGACTCTATGGGGAAACGGGGTGACCACAGCCAAGGAGAGTGCGGTCCCGCCCCCTCGGAGCCCTCAGACCCGCGTGGTCGCCCCAGGCTCACCCTCCGCTGCCGGTCTCAGGCCCCCATGTCCCTCCTTGGGTTTGGCTGATTTGCTGCCGAGGCTCAGAGCTCAGGGAAACACCTTTGTCTCCCGGTGTATGAATGATGCAGGTGAGCACCCTGCGATGAAGACATGCACAGGGCGAGGTCCCGAAGGCCGGACAGCAGCTCTGTCCCCCTGGAATTGGGGTGCGTCTCCTCCCCACGTGGCAGCCATCACCAAACTCCGTGCTGTTGGGGTTTCATGGGGCTTCCTCGTCGTCCATGGTTAACTCCATCTACAGCCCCATCCAGGAGCCACCCGGAGTCGGCTCAGGACAGACACGCTCCCGTCACCCAGGGAGGCCTGTGGGTGTCGGGGGCCGGGTGTCGGGAGCCGGGAGCAGAGGCATGTGCTCCGCATGATGCCGTGTGTGACAGCAGAGGCTGCTGAAGGCCCAGGCACTGGGAACGGGGACTAGAAACGCAGCCCCTTCCCCGCGTCTGCAATCACCCGCCTGGTGATCCCCACGGAGGCCTGCGCTGTGACCTGCAGGTGGCCGGGGCCTGTGCTTGCACAGGGCTCCGGCACAGGCCATTCCGGTTTTGGGGATGAAGGATAGACTGTCAAGGTGAGGGGTGAAGTCCTGCGCAAAGCTGTGCACACCCTGTGTCAGGAGCAGGAGCCAAATACCAGTGTCCCCCCAACAAGGGCCCAGGACCTCATGTTGTTGTGGGTGTGGATGGGGTGGGCATGGGGGTCACCCTGGGCCTCGGCATTTACAGATAAAGTGGGAAGGAGTCAGCATCATGCTGAGAGGAGAGGGAAGTTGACGGTCAGCCTGGTGGGAGGGGTCGAGGTTGGAATAACTACTGAGGGGACCAAGACGGACCACAGACGACACGCTCCCGTTGGTGGGTTAGCAGCTCATGGTCAGGTGGCTGCAGCCACCGGTCTCAACCTCTGTGCCCTCCTGCTCAGCACCCTCCCCCTGCCCACACGCACCCTCTCCCGTCCCCAGCTCTGCCTGGGCGTCCTTGGCGGCCACACGGCCACGGCCCAGGCCCACGGCCCACGGCCGAGCCTTCGCAGCATTGCTCTCCCAGCACGTCCCGGGTGTGCAGCTCACTCGGCGTCTCTGAGGCCACACGGCCACGGCCACGGGCCACGGCCCACGGCTGAGCCTTCGCAGCATCTGCTCTCCCAGCACGTCCCGGGTGTGCAGCTCACTCGGCGTCTCTGAGGCCTCCACTCTCAGGTGGGGGTGGGCCTCCCTTCGGGTCCCTGGAGTCACAGCGCCTCCCGTCTGCCCTAGGCCCTAGGACTCCCACGCTCGACGGCACAGGAGTTAGAGCTTGTGGCAGAGCAGGAAAGAACCTTCTAGATCACCCCCGAGAGCGCTGGACTTTGACATTCCTTTCCAGATTTGTTCGGCCACAGGCGCAGTACCCTGGAGGAGGGGTGGTGCTGGAGGCCGGAGGACCCACCGGGAGGAGGGGCAGGGCGGGGCCTGCGGTGCGGTCCAGCCTGTGTGGAGCCCACGGCCCTCTGGTCGCCGTCCACCCCAGTGGAGCCCACGAGCCCACCACGTAACTGGAGGCCTTTCAGCCGCCTGCCCCTCCTGCTCTGTGCTGGTCTCCCGAGATGGGGGCTGCCGCCCCCCCCAGAGCTCCCTGCTCGCCGCCCCTGGAGAAGGAGCAAAGCAAGAAAACGGGTCCATTGTTGTCGCAAGTGCTCGGAACAAAAGGGACCTGTGTGGGGCTGGGACAATGCCTCCTCCCACTGGACCGCAGCCATCTGAGCTGGACAGTGTCGGGCACCCCACCGCCAGGCTCCCCCTTATCTCTTGCCTTCCCGCCCTCTCCCCGCAGTTATCCCTTTGCCCGCCCTCCACCCTCCATCCAAGGGGCGGGCGGGGCGGGGGAAGGGAGCAGGACTGTCTGGGGCAAGCAGAGGGGCAGCCTCCATGCTCAGGACGTGGCGTGAGCTCCTGTCCCTGTCCACTGCTTCCCGGTGACCTCTGCCCCCGCCAGCTCTTCTAGTTCAGCCCCCGAGCCCGGGCTGGGTGGATGTCTCCCCCACAGACACGCTCCACTCACTGGTCACCGATGTGGAGACGACACATGTGTCTGGGCTGAGGCGCAGAGCCCGCGTCACCAGCACTGGGGGAGAGAGATGGGTGCTGGGAATTCACCCAGGAGCCCCCATCGTGGCCGACCACCCAGGAAGGGGTTGTAGGAGGGCCGAGTGGACCCAGGGGGACTGTGTGTTTTACCTGCCTTGCCAACCCCCCCTTTCCCGGAGACACCTCTGTGTTTGCTTCCGCTGGAACCTGTGCAAACTGTTCTGAAGGCAGGAGAAAGGTCCCCACGAGGAACTCAGGTGTCCCTGGGGAGAACTCAGGAGCTTGGGGATGTCCTGACGTCTGCAGGTGGGCGGCAGGGTCGCTGACGTCCTGCAGGGCTGGTCGTGTCCCACTGGACCGTCACGTAAGGGGGGGCCTATCCGCAGCTATGGGACCCTAACGTCTCACCTGTGAGCATGTCGCCCCGAGTCCCGTGAATGGAACCGTGCCAGCCGAGAGGATTCTGCCCACGTTACGCGTGAGACAGGTGGCTCTCGTGGCCTTGACAGAAACGGCTCCACGGGCCGCTGCTCATGGTCCTCAGCTGTTCCGTCTGCACAGCTTTGCTGAGGCGTGACCGGCACCCAATGAAGTGCCCGGACTGGCGGGCACAGCTCGGGGAGTCTGGACGTGCTCTTGGGGGTCTCTAGATGGTTGGCAGCCTCCTCTTGTCCCCGAGCCTGTCCCCAGCGGCCCCAGCTGGCCACACTGTCTCCTGGTAGGTGGGGGGAGTGCGGGCAGCAGGAGGGGCCCCACTGCAAACAGGCCCCAGGGAACGTGCCCGGGGGAGCCCGCGCTGGGCCTGCACAGGGGACGGGGGACAGAGGAGAGCTGAGGTGGCCTCAGTTCAGGTCTGTAGGCGCAGCCAGGGCCATCGAGGGGGCTTCCGTGCATCCTCTGCCTGTCCCAGTGTCCCCCCGGAGTGACGGCGGCCATCCCCAGGCTGAGCGGCACTGGGGCGAGGTCTCCTGTTGACGGGTCTGCCATCCCCCACGGTGACAGGCACTGGACCACTGGCGTACTTGCGAGAACCCCGAGACTGTGCCCTGGCAGGGTGCCAGGCAGGGGTGTGCCTCAGCATGCTTACCCCTCACCCGGCACCTGCACAGGGACGCCCACGAGCCCTGTTTACATCCGAGAACATGAGGCTTAGTGAGGGTTCACTTGTCCAGGGCCACCGAGCCGGACGCTCAGCAGAGACCTGAACCAGAGGCCGGGTCCCAGAGCCTGTGTGCTCGCCACCGGATCACGCGGTCTGTCAGCCGGCACATCTGTGAGCCGGGCTCTCCACTGTGTTCCCTCAGTTCTCATGACAAGGCCAGTGGGTGCAAGCCGGGCACAGAGATGCAACCAGGGGGAGACACTGAGGGCCACTGCAAGGGACTGGCGTACGGGGTGTGGGGGCAACCGAGGCGGCAGGCCACCAGGGGCTGGGGGGCAGGGCGGCCAGGAGCAGGAGCAGGACTGGAGGAGCCCGGGCAGGTGAGGAGGGCAGCTGAGGAGGGAGGCGGAGTCTCGGGCCCAGGTGAAGAAGCTGCCCTCCAGAGGCAGAACTTCTTTTCCAGGGACGACTTTTGAGGAATTGGATCAGCTTCCCCAGACTGATGAGAATCAAGCCACAGTCATAATAAAAAGAAAACCAGGAAGTCCCTAAATGTGTGAACATGGTATCTAACTTTTCTGAACATCTCATAAATCGGAGAAGAAATCGGAATGGAAATTCCCACCTCCCCACATCCGGGCTTCCAGAAAGTGGCGGCAGGTCCCTGGCGGGCACAGAATGAAGCAGAGTTCCTCGTGCCCCAGCCCCACCACTGTCCTGGCTGGTGGTTGAGCTCAGGGGTCACGAGGCCCCGGGGGAATGCTGAAGCTGCACTCTGCCTGCCTTGTCCCCACGGGGCCCCAAACGACAGGACTTCTTGGTAAAAACAGTGGCCCAAAAGCAGCTTCTCGACCTCAAGTTTCTGAAAACCAGCTTGTGAACCATCTATGAGAAACATGGACTCAATATGTTTTCTTTCTTCTGAAGAAAAAGATGAACCCAGTCATTATGCGGCTTACCGAGCACACGCCCTTGCGGGCACACAGCGGGGTATGTGCAGAGTTCCCCCCTTTGAACCCCTAGGGTCTACATATGACAAGTCACATTTTCTAGATGGTTAAGACAGAAGCTCGGAGATTTGTAGAAGTCATGCAGGATTTTACGTCTCGGAAACCAGAAAGGATCCCCAAACCGAGTCCAAATTCCTTGCGTAAGCTGTACAAGGCACTATGAGTATTTCCTCCTTGTTTCTGCCTACTTGGCTGCAAACAGCAGGTACCAGGGCATTCTGTGTGCTCACTAGAAGGAGCGCCGCTCGCCTCAGGACCTCTGTGGTCATGGCCGTTAAGGCGACTGGGTATTAGACCTCAGATAACATCCTCAAAGGACCCTTGGACGGAGACTGACACAGTTTTTCTGATATCGAAGCCTTTTCTCAGCAGTTCATGCTCCGGTATCTGCGGTGCGCTAAGACAGGTCCAGGATGGTGTTCGCAGGAAGCTCCGTCTATTTCCATAAACCAGCCTGTGCTAATACTACAGGTGGATGAATCGTTGCCTTAGTTACGGGTGTCTATTTGCTAGCCTTTGTAGTCTTTATGTGCTGGCTGTGATTCACATTAATCAGAATTTGCAGGGACGAACTTTGAGCTTGGGAGCTTCCCAGGCGCTGAATGTCCCCAATAAGTTTCGTGACATTTAGCTATTTTGTATTTATTCTACAAACCGAGTGACGGTGCCAGGAGTTCTGACTTCGCATTACTTGTGGACTCCGAGATGTGGACGGGAGGGGGGGGGTAGCGCCCTTGACACATCTGCTCTGTGGACCAGGGACCAGGCACCGCTCTTTAGTTGTCATTTTGGTATCTTTGTATTCCTGTTAGAGATGCTCTGTCTGATGTTTCTCCTTTAGTAGCAACTACAACAGCGTTTTGTTTCCTTTTTAGTTATACACGAAATAAAGGCTCCCGGGCACAGAGGGCGGCCTTCCGGAGCGTCTGGCCCGGGACTCCGCTCCTGTGCAACCCGGGCAGGTGCCAGTCACCCCGGGGCACAGAGGCGCTGGGCCTGGGGGGTACGCACTGCGGGGGTGGGGGGTGGGGGTGGCAGGGGGGGTGGCGGGGGGGGCCGGCTGGAAGGCGACGCGATGCCTCCTACAACGTCACCTTCGGGCCCCCCCAGCCACGGATGCTCGCGGGGAAGGGACCGGCGGACGTGACTGGGGCTGCCGCAGGCTTTGGAAGTTGCCTCGGAAATGTGTGAAATCAGTGCGTTTCCTGAGGCCCAGGACCGGGCGGGCCTGAGGGCCGCTGACCTTCCCAGGAGCCGGGACCGCCCGGCCGCCAGGGCGGGTCGCGGGGGAGGGGCGGGAGCTGCGGGCGGCGTGTCCCGCGCCCCCCGCCCACGCGTGCGCTGCAGAGCCGGGCGTGGGGCCGCGGGGCGGGGGTGCGGGCGGCCACGTGGCCTCTTAGGAATGCGCTGGCGCGAGGGCGGGGCGCGGCCGAGGAACGGGCAGGCCTCTCAGCCAGTGGGCTCCTGGCACCGCCCGGGCTGGCCAATCACGGTGGGGGGTGGGGCTTCCTCCCCGTGGGCGGGGCCGAGCGCATCCCAGCGGCGGACGCGGGGCGGGGAGAGGGGCGCTCGGAGGGACGGCGGCGGGGGTCCCGGCGGGGTGAGTGCGGGCCCGTGGGGCAGGGCAGGGGGGTCTCCGCCTGGTGATCTCCGGCCCAGGGCAGTCCCCCAACTTTAGCCTGGTGCCCCTGTTCCCGCCACAGACAGTGCAGTTAACGGGGCCGCGAGCAGCCCCCCAACTTCAGCTGGTGGCCCCTGTCTCGTGGGCACAGTGCAGGTAATGGGTGGGGCCCTGGGAGCAGACCCCGCTTTCTGCGCGGGGCCCTGGTCCCCGGGACCTCGGCGCTGGGCGGGGACTCCCCGCTCAGGAAGGTGCCGGGACCCTGGGCGGCGGCTGGAGGCGGCGGAGCCCGACCCCACTGAAGCTGAGGACGAGTCGGGGTGTGTGGGGAGCAGTCGCGTGCCTTGTCCTGCGAAGGCACAGTCCTGGGTCCCTGCAGGGTGAAGATAATCACCCCTTAAGAAGCCCGTGTGCGACGGTTCCCGCGGGCACCTGCCCCGCTGCAGAGGCAGGTGGGCGGCCCCTGGGCAGCAGGTGCCCGTGGGCACCTGGCGACCCCCCCCTCCGTGGCCCCTCGTGTCGCCCGAGAAATCGGAGCCGGCGTCTTGGCTTTTAACGGGGCCGGTGTCCTGGGAGAGCCGCGGGCTCGCTGGTGCGGAGACTTGCTGGAGGTGAAACGTCCTCATTCCCGGGCTGCAGCCCGCCCCCCTTTCTCTGGCCGAGCCCAGAGGGGTTAGGTAGCCGCCCCAGCCCACCTCCTGCGGCAGAGACTCGGGTTCCCTCCGGGCAGAACGCTGCAGGGGTGACAGTTTTCACTGCATGGATATGGCCAGCGGTTCTCAACCTGGGGGCGCCACCCCTTTGGGGGTTGAACGACCCTTTCACAGGGGTCACCTGGGACCATCGGAAACCACGTATTTCCGACGGCGATTCATAAAAGTAGCAAAATTACACTTAGGAAGTAGCAACGAAAACAATTTCATGGTTGGGGGTCACCACAACATGAGGAGCTGTATTACAGGGTCACAGCATCAGGACGGTCGAGAACCACTGGCTTAGAATGTAGTCTGAGTGTCTCTTTTGTAGGAATAACCCCTCTGAGAGAAGAAAGGTGTGAACCCCAACCCTAACCCTAACCCTAACCCTGGCCCCTGAGCGCTCAGCTCTGTTTGCTTGGCCCTGGGGTGTGACTTGGTGGCCCTGGCCTGCAGGTAGGCACCCGGAGACCTCGCAGGCATTCACCTAGGGCTCTTTTGTAAGTGATCAGTTCCTCCATCGAAGGATTTCAGACAATTAAGGACGAGGCAACATTCAAAGTTTTTCAAAACAGTTTTTTATCTTGTGCAAGTCGAGGCCGACTTTCTAGTTCTACCAAGTTCATCATCTGGATGTTGGGAGATGTACATGTTCTCTGGGGTTTCGTGTAGTGAAGTTTGAGGAAAACGCTTTGGGAATCTGGACAGAGGCGTCCTGGTGTTGAGGGCTCAGCGAGGGGCCCGGGCCGAGTCTGGACTGTGCCCCGCCTGCCTGGTCACTGCGCAGAACTTCAGGGTACTTACAGAACTGGGAAGCAATGGCAGGAAATGCTCTTTAATGTTCTGCCTAAGTTAGAGCGGAATAAAAATGCAGTGATTATGACGGTACTGCTCTGTGAGTAATGGTTTTGGACAAGTTGTAAAAACTTGGAAACCCTGTGGTGAGATTTGTTTTTCTGTTCTTGCACGAAGCATCACAGGGGTGCCACAGTGAGAAACTCAAATCCCGAGGTGCTGAGACGCGGATGTGTAATTCACACGTCACAGTCTGTGCGGGTAGAAAGGTGGTGGGGTGACATGGGACAGTGGGGGGGGGCAGGTGTGCGGCCGGTAGGCGGGCGGACCACAGCTCTCCCTGCGGCCTCCCGGAGCTCTGACTTTGGAAGAAGGAGGGGCCAGTTCCGGGTCTGGGGAACTTGGCAAGGTCCCGAGATGAGGCCATGACTGCAGGGTGCGGGCAGGGCCAGGCCCACAGAGTGGCTGTGCCTCGAGGGGTGGCTGTGAGCTCCCCTGCCCAAGAACAGGTGAGGCTGGGGTGCAGAGCTAGCAGAGACCCTCTCACCTCCCACCAGCCCCCCCCCATCATCCCCCCATTGCCTCCCTCCCGATCCCTCCAGCCCTTCCAAAGTGGCCAGGCCTAGACGCCCGTGCTTGCTTCTTTGTTTGCTCTTGTGTGTGAATTTTCAAGATGACCGGTCATTTCATAAAAGTGACCAGTCACAGGCACGCGTGTGCTGCTTCCTCCCGCTGTTCTTTCTGTCGTTCAGAAACACACCTGCACACCCGCTGGGAGGAAGCGCTGTCTGTGGGTGGTCGATGTTTTATGAACAATATTCAGAAGACTTTAAAAAATATTAAAAGTACTTTTTTAGGTTTAAACCTTTTCTCTTCCATGAGCCACTTTCTGATACTAGAAATGACTTTTTAAAGTGAAATCGTGTCCCAGCTGTCGGCCTTGCGGTGCCCGTGGTGAGGGGCGCAGGGGAAGGCTGTGCCCCTGTAGAGACAAGCTGGCCGCTCACCTCGGGGCTGCTGATTGGGGGCGCAGTCTTCGCCCCAGAATCTCCACTCAGTGAACCACTCGGGACTCTTGAACTGGGGAGTTTATGAAGAAAACAGCAGGAATGAACACTCTGTTCACGGATAGCCGTGCAGCGAGGTCTCGGGGTCCCAGGGCACAGGCTGTGCTTCTGATCGGGCCGGGGGCTTGCTGTCTGGCGTTGGGGACCAGACCCTCACACGTGCGTGTCATTATTATTATTATTTATTTTTTATTTTTTATCCTCACTCGAGGACATTTTCCCATTTTTTGTTCAGATAGAATGGGAGGGAGAGAGAGGAAGAGAGAGAGAGAGAGAAACATCGATGTGAAAGGGACACATCGAGTGGCTGCCACCTGCACGACCAACCAGGGCCGGGGACAAACTGTAACCAAGGTATGTGCCCTTAGCGGGAACCGAACCCGGGTGTCTCTGTACCTCAGGCCGACGCTCCAACCGCTGAGCCAAACCGGCCAGGGCTCATTATTATTTTTAAAGAAAGCAATGTGGACGTTCAAGCTCCAAAGTCAAATAGAGGCACGATTTTTGAACCCCTGTTGTCCCTCATTGGTGTGGACGACAAGAGCTGACCGACCGGACAAGAGAGGCCAGAGAGTTTATTCGGATGGAAGTGTGCTCAGCACGTTACTGTCCCAGCCTGGCCTTGGCCTCCTTTCTCCGCTGGGAGGGAGTCCTGACCTCAGCCGGGTTTCCGATCGGAGCCCCGAGATGTGAGCTGGAGCAGGAGGGTGTTGCTAAGTGGTGCTCATGCCCACTTGAGAGGAGGCTCCAGGCTGGGGGCTGGGAGGCCTCTGGCTTTGGACGAATACAGTCAGGTTCCAGCACATGGAGTCGCTTGGCTGGTCCCTGCTGGGCCAGGCTCCGTCTTACTTCGGCCCAGTGTCCAAATGGCCTGAGGGTGGAGCCGCCTGCCCCGCTCAGGACAGGACTCCGGTGGGCTCAGTGTAGACTCAGCCCGGGGACTCGAGGATTCCCGACGAGCATGTTTCAGAGGCCAGAGCACCGTGGCTTCCAGGTGCTGAGCTCTGGTGGAAAGAATTCCGTGCGTCGTCTTACTCATCCCGCGAGCAGGTCTGAGCCTGGCCCTCAGACCCGGCAGCTGCTCCGAGCCGGCCAGGTGCGAGCCAGCCTCGGGCACAGTGGAAGGTTCTGGGGAGCTGCTCTCTGCCCCGTGGCAGATTCCAAAGGGCCTCCCCAGCTCAGCGGAACTTGGGGCCGCTCGGGCTGTGTCCCCTGTAAGTGCCAACAAGTGGGCTTCCTGTTAATCAGGTGACAGCAACTCGCAGGGGTGGTTGGCATTCGCCTGTGCTGCCCCAGACTCCAGGGCCTGCCCTCGGGGGTGTGGAGGGAGCTGCAGATGGGCTCAGGGCCGCCCCCGTCCGGCTGTGCTTGTCCCCTCTGCGGCACCCGCAGGGCGTCACTGGAGACCCGGATGGCTGCCTCAGCAGAGGTGGCCTCCGGAGCCGACTGCGCCTTCACCCAACTGCTCTGCTAGAAGCTGGGGCAGGTGTAGCTCTAGAAACAGGGAACTTTTGGTCTCCGTGACAACAGCGAGGGACACGCCTTCTCACGATGCATCTGGCTTCGCACCTGTGCCGAGACTCGGTTTCCCTGTGAGCGCGTGGGAAAGAGAAATGCAGAGAAGAGAGAACCAAGCAGAGATCAGTTTAGGAAAGTGGTCAGCCTGGGTCTCCATCCCGGGCAGTCAGTTCTTCATTCGAAACCCTAAGTGTTGGGTGGAGGAGGAGGAAGACAAGGTATACCTTGCGTGTTCACTTCTCCCCTCAGCCTGGGGTCTGGATGGAGCAGAGGGGGCTCGGGTGCTGGGCTGGGAGGCGGGAACCGGCGGCAGAACCCTGGTTGCTGCGCAGGGAAGGTGGGCACACGGGACTCCGTTGGGGTTCGCTCCAGGGTATTTAGTTTTCCTCGTCCTTGTGGCGAGTAGGCAGTGAGCTCCTTCTCACCTCTGGGACTGAACCGCATCTCCCCCGGCCGCTGGCCCTGGGGCACCTGTGGGCCGAGGGCAGCCCCCACCTGCCCCTGACCCCCTCTCTCCTCCCGCAGGGCTGCCCAGGGCCCAGGCTTCAGCGCTGCAGCATGGACCCCCCGGAGCCGCCGGCCCCCGCTCCAGAAGGTAGGTCTGCCCCCGCCGGAGGCCTCTGTGCGCACGCTGGCACCGACGGAGGCGGCTGCCCGGACTCGTGCCCGCAGAGCACTGTCCAGCCCGAGAGACTGGGTTTGACCGTGGTCCCTGCGGAGGTGGAGCTCTGGTGCCCTTACTGTGGGGGTGTCCTGGCTGAGCCTTCTCCATCCCCCCAACAGGTTCAGAGACACTTCTGGGGCCCGTGTGGGCCTACGGGAGACCCTCTCTGGCCTCCTCCTCCCCCAGGTGCTTTGTCCGAGCCCAGCCCGGCTCTGGCCTCACAGGTCATGGGGTGGGGGGGGGCTCCCTGGCTCCTTTCACGCACTTTACAGACGTTCTTTGCATCCCGGAGGCCAGAGCCCCCACCAGCAGAAAGAGAAGCACTCGCTCTGCTAGGGGTCCTGGGGGGTCCGACTTTGATTGTTTTCACCTCCTGGACCCCCACCCCGTGAGGCGGTGCCCGGAGGACACGGGTCCTCCCTGCCCGGCCAGGTGCAGGGACTTCCCACACCACAGCTCCGGTCCGCTTGCCCTCTGTGGGGTCCCTGCCCAGTGTCACATCGAGAGGGCTAGTTCTGGGCGCCCAGTTCCCTCCTGTTGGCCGTGTGTCTGTGTTTCGGTCGGTCCCACACAGCAGATGTTGGCTCATGGAGCGGTCACACCCGCCGGTAACTGCAGTGACCACACGCAGGTGAGGACCGCGGGAGGTGAGCTGAGTCTGGGGTCCCTGAGGGGACCATTGTTCTGGGGACATCGCCGCTCAGCCCGAGCCGCCCAGTGACACCCAGAGCCTGGAGGCCGCGAGCTGTCCCTTGTCCTTGTTGGAGGAGTGTGGGCGGCTGCCTCCTGGGTCAGCACTTCTTTGCTGTGTTCTGTTTTAAAGAAGAAAAGGTTTGGAAACAAATCGCCTTCACCAGAAGTCAGAGAAACATCGTGTCTTGGATAAAACTCTCCTGTGGTAATTAACGGCTGCTCTTCAGGCCTGGGGACAGAAAGTGTAACTTTTATCTCGGAGCTGGAAAGGGAGTCTTTCATTCGTGTGTCCCTGTGTCCATCTCGGCTCGTCTCTGAAGGCGCCAGTGGTTCTGAGCCGTCCTGGGGTTGTCTGCGCACAGGAGGCGCCCTGTCCCCTTGTCCCCGAGCCCGGCAGCCGGCTCTCCACTGGGTGGGGGGCAGAGCCAGCCCGTCCGACTCCCAGGCCTGTGTCCGGGCGAGGACTGGGCTGCAGGCCCCGCCGGCTCGTGCCGTGGGCAGCCGGGCGCTCACCCCTTCCCTCCTGCACAGCCGGGATCTGACACTTGCATCAGTCGGGGTTGGAAACGTGACTGTGTCACTGGCAGTGGGAAGGAACCTCTCGGTCACGGAGACGTGCCGCACGACTGTTTCTCTTGGGCACCGTGGTGGGCACGCCGGCTCGACGACAGCAGCGTTTAAGGGCGAGGGGGGGTCGTCCTCAGACCAGACTGGTCTCTGGAGCCACGCTGGTGACAAGGTCAAGTTGCGGTTGGCGTTGCTGGGCCCACGTGTCCGCAGGGCAGCAGCAGGACGGGGGAGTGAGGGTGGGACAGACCGTGACCCCCAGGCTTGGGGCTGGGAAGGGGCCTTTCTGGACCTCAGGCCCAGTGTCTGCCCTGCGGGCTCTGCAAGACCACGAGCATTGCTGTCCGGAGCCTTGGCTGCGCGTCTGGGCCAGGCTGGGGCCCTGCGCCCTGGGAACCTTGGGAGTCTCACCTGGAAGGGGAGCAGAGCTGGTGGTTGCGGGGTGCCACGAGCTGCCAGGCCCCCGAGATGGGAGACTCTGGGCATCAGAAGCAGAGGATTGGTGATGGGCTGATTCCGGGACCACCGCGTCGGGGGCATCAGGGGACTGCAGTGTCCCCACCGCCACAGGAGGTCCTTCCAGGGAGGAACAAGGAGAACAGCCCGTGGCTACCGCGGGGCCCACTGGCACTGGCTGGGGGCAGGTCACCGGGCCGCCGTGGAGTGGTTTCGCGGCTGGCGGGGAGGCCCCGGGCGAGGCAGTGCCGACTGTGCACGGTGCTGAGGGCGGGGCGCGGCAGTGGGAGTCGTGACCCCCGACGGATGCTGGCGACGAGGTGACCGGGTTCCTGAGGAAGTGGAGGGTCAGCGTCCACCCACAAGGGGGCAGGGAGGGAGGGGGCAGGTCACCGAGAGTGTTTCCCGCAGAAAGAACTTGGTGAGGGCGAGTGGGCTGGGCGACTGGACCCCACCCGTGCGTGCGGTTGCCCGTGTCCGGCCTGCACCCTGGAGGGACGCCCGGCTCCCTCACAGCCGACGGGAAGGCAAACGGTGCGCCCCTTTGGAGGACAAACCAAACATCACGTCCTCTGACCAGTGACCCGGCAACCACACTGCTTGGTGCTTACCCAGATGTGACTGACGTCACGTGGTCACCTGCACGCAGATGTTTATAGCAGCTTCATTCCGAATTGTCAAACTTGGGAGCAACCAAGACGTCCCTCTGTAGGTGAGGACACTGTGTCCATCTGGACTGTGGGCTGTCACTCAGCACGATGAAGCCAGAAAGTCGTGGCGGAACCTGAAGTGCATGTGGCTGAGTGAGGGGAGCCGGTCTGGAAGGCTGCTCACTGTGACCCCAACTTGTGACACCTGGAGGAGAGAGAGCCAGGGGACGGGGACGGATCTGTGGCTGCTGTGGGGTTGGGGGGGATGAGCGGGGGAGCCCAGAGGGTTCCGGGCAGGGAACCCGCTCTGTGTGGTGCTGTGAGGGTGGACACGTCATCACACAATCTGTCTAATGGACAACACAGCGTGAACTCTGATGTCACCTGTGGACTCTGGGTGACGACGATGTGTCCGGGCAGGTTCAGCAGCTGTGACAAATGTCCCGCACGGTGGGGGTGTTGATGGTGGGGAGGCGGTGCAGGAGGGAGGAACATGCGAAATCTCTGCTGTTACTTCAGTTTTGCTGTGAGCCTGTAAAACAACAACAACAACAAATAACAATATATAAGTAACAATACAAAATGGAGCCAGAGGAGGCGCCCTGCCTGTCTGACGCCTCAAACCTTGGCCGTTGGAACGGACACAGTAACCTTTGCATCGGGCCCAGGGCAACATTGTATCTCGAAGAGCTGCTCCCCGAGGGAGCAGGAAGGCAGATGTGCTGAGACTGGACTGAGGTCACAGCCTTGTTTAGAATCGGCGTCGCTGCGTCGAGATGTCTGCACCCGGAGCAACGCCCTCCCGCTGTGATGTCATAGTCCCCGTCCTACCTCATGCACACCCATCACCTCTGTCTCCTCATCCGGACACTCTTAGGGCTCCTGCCTGAATCATTGCTCCCCGAACATCTGTTCTTATCGCTGTGGAGTAAGCGCTGTTGTCTCTGACCCCGAAGGCCTTTCTCTGTTGGCTGAGCCTCAGCCCAGACGCTGTGCCCAGGCCCAGTCGGGGAGCCTGGCGGGTGCGTCCGAGATTCAGGCCGTGAGGCTCAGTGTGGAAGACGAGGCTCAGCGTCTGTGGGCTGAGGGCGGTTCTCTCACACTGACCTCGGGGCTCAGAGCTGCGTGGGCCACGGCATGGGCCACGGCGTGGCTGGGGCAGCACAGAGGCCTCCTCGTCCTGGGAAGCCCGCCGGACAGGCCTGCTGCCCGGAAAGTACTCCGAGGAGCGGACTGTGGGTAACTGACCCCCGCCTGGCACACAGGCGCAGATACACCGTGCGTGGTCGAACTGGCACAACAAGCAGACACTGGACATTCCTGAAATGCTCTGTTTCATAACTTGTTCTAGAAGTTTGGGCTCAAATTGATGAGCGGATCGCTGCTCCATAAGGTTGGTGAGAAGGCGGTCAGTGCGGCGGAGGCTGGGCCCGGGCCTGCCGGGGAGGGACCCGGCCTGAGTCCTGGGGAGGGCCGCCGCTGTGGGCAAGGGTCGGTGGCCCAGGGGACGCACAGGGCGGCTCCTCAGGACAGTGTGGGTGTGACCAGAGGGACAGTTTCCCGGAGGCTCCGGTCCCTGGGCGGCCTCAGAGCGGAGGCTGCGCTCACACCCGGGCGCTCGCAGCGGCTCGGGCCGTGTCAGATCGGGCGGCCAGCGGTGCGGGACTGGGCCCTCTGAGCGCGTCCAGCCCGTGACCTTCATGCTGGGCCTCCTGGGCGGGTCCTCCTCACCCACGTCATCTCCAGGGGGTGGCACAGGGCGGCCTCCACGTGCGCCCCCGATCCTGTGGTCTGTGCCCTGCCCTCCGGGTTGACCCATTGCTGCCTCCTCGCAGCCCAGCCCCTGGGTCAGTGAGGGCCTCCCTGTCTGCGTCACCTCCTCTGTGTCCCATGCTGGCTCAGACACTTCCGTCCCTCATACACGGGGTTTAGAAGCAAACCATCCACAGAAAATCTGTTCACCGAGTGACCGCTGGACTGAGATACACTGAGAGCCCTTTCAGCACGATGCCACCTGTGGCCATGGCAGGGTGTGCTCTCCCGAGCCTGGGCGACCCCTGGGCTGTGCCCCTCCTGCTCTGGTGTGGTCGTCACCCCTCGGGGTCCCTGGGCTGTGGAAGCATCGTCTCTGCCTGTCAGCACTGGGTGTTCTCTGGGTGTGTGTGTGTGTGCACACTCGTGTATGTGCATGCTTGTGTGCACGCTTCTGTGTGCACACGCTCGTGTGTGCATGCCCGTGTGTGCACGCTCATGTATGTGCATGCTTTTGTGTGTATGCTTCTGTGTGTGCACACTCGTGTATGTGCATGCTTATGTGTGCACGCTCGTGTGTGCCGTTCCCTTCTCGTGGAGACAGCCGTGTTGTTTCAGGGCCGACCTGCTCCGTGTGACCTCATCTCAACACATTACCTCTGCAGGAGGTGTTTCCACATAAGGTTTCATCTCAGTCTTGGGGCTTAGGAGAAAGTATTTGGGGGGGACGCAGTTCAGTCCTTCACGCTGCTGTCAGAGCTAAGCTCAAGTGTTTCAGAGACACCCCACATTGCTCTTTTTTTTTCTTTTTTT